ATACAGCATGCAAACACTGACTTGGATCAGCCGCAGTTGAAGAAGTTCGTTGTGGCGATCACGTGATATCGCACGTAGAACAACGTATGCTACGGCATTGTGTTTTATTGTGTAGGCTATATGAATTTAATACATGTTTGTATTATTATATATATTATTATGTTTTAAAAATGGTTAAACCATGGCACATGTTTATATTGCTGAACAAGGTAGTCGGCTATTCCCTTCTTGTGGAGCAGCAGCGCGTTTAGAATCAGATCAGACACTAGAGCGTCTACATTCCTGAGTTGGCGGCGTTTAAAGAGAAGACTACTGTATGTGATTGACCTTGTGTCTGCTTCTCTCATGCTTCTCCTGATCGTGGGAACCTACTTGTGTGGGAACGTTTCTCACTGAATTCACTGTTACTAGGCAATTTGCAGTAATGCAAACTGGTGGTATATGCCTATTTCAAACAGTTTATTTCCGTTCATGACAAAGTAAGAATATCGATTAGAAACACATTGAATTGATTTTATTTCTGAACGGGACCGGTAGCGGCAGGATTTGGCAGAAGGGGATACGATGTCTCCGACAAAAAATCACGAGGCAAATATTAAAACAGTGTAAATTTTTATTTCATTTCCTTCAACTTTACTTATATAATACCGGGACGGTGTCCGGCGGGAGACAGTTGTTACTATCATAGTTTAACTTTTATCTATCAGAATCTAGCCCCGAATCCTAGACTCATGTATTTAAAGCGGCCTGTAGCATGTGTATACAGCATATATTTGTATTTTTTGTCGATGGATAAATAAATGTCCGAATATAAGAGTTGAATACTGTTTTCTGTACACTACATGTTTGTTTGGGTCAGTTGAGAATTAGCACTTAATTAGGCCTATTAATGAAATACAACGGTACCGTACACAAACATTCACTTGTATGTTTTATTTATATTTTGACATTAACAATGGCCTTTAACACTCAATATTATTTTTATTTAACATAAGCCAATAAACAGCTTCCACACATAAAATAACGGTAGGCCTAACCAATAAAAATATATAAAATACAAAACAAGATTTATGCAAGATTAAAAAAACTGTACAGAAGTCTCCGCCCGGCAGGCAGACAAGGCCATACTTTAAATTGGCATCCATCGAACGTCCTATTGTTAGCATCTCAACTGACCCAATTCTGTCAGAGCGGCGCTCAAAGCGAATTTCTGTAGACCAAGGAGGAAAGTTTTTTCCTCCATGTATAGATCAACACCGGCCACACAGTCAGTGACATTTTTCACGTGATGTTGCGTACTCTGTTGAACTGATCACATCCACACACACGAGGTACCCAATATTAATTGTACAGTAGTTGCTTAGGCCTAGTTGCTGTTTATAATATATATTGATGCCTACTTTCTCTATAGTTTATTGAATGATGTTTGGCGAATGCTGGCGTCCATTTGTGTTCCCATGTGATATGTGTGCAGGGAGTTGATAAATGTTTTTTCGTTCGTCGTCAGCTTCTTAGCTGGTAGGCTGCTATTTAACGAAGATAGGTCTTTCCGACAGAGCAAACGGCACTTAGGCCTACATGCATGTGCTGCCATTATCGTCATTACCACTTAATTTAACTATTAGGACTATGCAGCCTTTAAACTTTGAACTTGGTTCATTTCAAAGTAAAACTTATTCAGTATTTTAAATTGTATAAAAACGGTAGTTCAACCGGGGCCTGGTCTAACGACACAGACGCGTTTGTCGCCCAAAACAATAAAAACAATGGCAAACGCGTTCAACAGCACAAACCCGTTTAGACGCGTCTGGGACATATTCCGACTAGCTTATTAATATTCATGAGGCACGATAATTAGACGATCGCTTTCCCAGACGCGTTTGTAATAATGGTTTTCCCAGACGCGTTTCTGTCGTTGGGGATAATTTGTAGATCGCGCCTTACATCTAATGCAGGTGCTAAACTCTTGGAGCTAGTTAAACAATTTATGGAAAATCTAAAAAAAATAAAAAAAATTAGAGGTGAATATAAGACATGGATCATACTGTACTATATGATTCCGAGTATTAGATATTTTGTTACTGTAAATGACATAGCTAAATCAAATCTAGAAAAGGCTCAAGCATTGATTAATAGGTCAGTTAAACAATGGCTTCAACTTCCTCGCAGCACAACCATAGATATTTTGCACCATCCTAAATGCCCGACTTGTACAAACATACTAAGGCGCGATCGCCAAATTATTCCAGGCGACAAATCAGCATTCAGACGAGTTTTCTATTGTTCT